TTGTCGAGGAGCAGCGCCTCATTGAGGTGCAGCGAGTCGAGGATGAGAAGCGCCTCATGGAGGAGAATCGCCTCTTTGAGGTGAAGCGTCTCATAGAGCTGAAGCGTCTTGAGAAAAAAAATAAGCGACTTGAGGAGAGACGCTTTCGCAAGGTGAAGCTCCTCGAGGAGAAACGTCTCATTCAGGAGAAGCGCCTCGTTGAGGTGAAGCGTCAAGAGGAGGAGGCGCACTTGATGGAGGAGAAGCGTCTTGTGGAGCAAAAGCGCCTCGAGGAAGAGCAGCGCCTCGCCAAGATCGAGCGACAATGGCTCCAGACCGCTACCACCAGCAGCAGCACCACTACTACTGACACCACCTCCACCACCGCCGCCATCGCCGCCGCCACGTCCTCCAATCCTGTGTGGGGCCCAATAGCTCCGAGCTTTGGAGAAGAGGGCTTCCAAGAAGATAAAGCAAACTCCGGAGTCGCTGAGCCACGGTAAACCACTCTGCGTGTGCGTCCTGTGTGTTTATTTTTGTTATTTATTGCCATGCTTCTTACGCAGCATCAGCCTTACTCGGTCTCAAGACTTTTTTTCAGGAGGATTCTGCCAAGTTTGCTCGCATTTTGCAAGAAAGTTGCTACTGTTTGCGATCCAAATTGAACGATTTGCATTGCTTGTGTGGGTTCAGTAACAGGGAGAAAGCTGCAGAACCTTCCCAGAACAGCTGGCTGCACAATCCACACGGAGAATGTGGCCAAACGTGGAACTCAAACCCAGGTCAATGTTGCTGTGATGCACAGGTGCTCAAGCCCTGTCGCGCTCTCAAAATTCACAGACACTACAAACTCCACGTGTACATTCCGCTATACTGAGGACAGATTTATTTTTCGTAACTGGTTTCTGAGTTAGACGACATAACGAAGTGGGCATATCTTCACCATGTAACCCTCCATCCACCGTGAGATTTTCGCTGTCTATCGCCTGTTTCCAGGCCAGCTGCCAAGTCGCCTTCTAATGCACAGCGACAGCTACCACTGAGAGGGGTGTCCAATTAAAAACGCGATGAGATGAGAGATGCGAGAGGCTCATCGCATGCAATGCACTCTGAGATGCCTTCGACGTCAAGGGAGGTGGCTCTCTCGACCACAAATCACAGACGGACACTTTTTTGAAATCGTGGATGTGTTGAAGCGGCCAAATGGTCGTGCACTCATTCTTCACCATTACAGTTCAGACCTTGCTTCCCGCCCTGGCTATTATTGCTGCTGCATTGACCACACAGATACACACCCATTCCGTCACAGTGGACGTGCAGGATCTCTATCGATGCCATTTGAAATGCTTAGGACATTATGTACAAGGGGTCAATTAGAATATACATATATAAAAATGTCAATCTAGATTTAAAGTTTTCGTGACGACAGGGATCCATACTCTTTTGTTATATCGGTAAATTCACGTAGGTATGAAATAAAATAAATTTAATTAAATCACGACATTTCGATGGCCATGTCTTTATTGCAAGAAAATGTATTGCTGTGGTTTTCCCACCTTATGATGATTGCTTGTGTTACAATCTAAACGTTGTGATTAATTTATTTTATTTTATACCTACGTGACTTACCGAAAGAACCAAATTATTCAGCTAAATTTGCACAGCAACGCCACCCACTACTGTGAAACTACAGCAGTCTGTGTGAGACACAGCTGCACCTATTTCAAGGATAGCCTGGCGCCATGAGAATGACAGCACCAATACTAAGCACACTCACTGGCCATGTCGTTATTGCTGTTTCTATTAAGCTCGAATTAATCCGCCACACATTCCACCCACGGACGATGCCTTCATATCCGCCTGCCCACCGTACCTTTCTTCATTATTGACAACTTGCAGCTCAGCACACGGCAGATGCCTGCGCAGCGCGACTCACGATCTCCTCTCGATACCAAGATCCAGGATGGTCATCGTGTCTATGCGCCGTTTCTCGGTGGCAGCCCCAACAGTCTGGAACGATATCCCTCTGCACATTCGCAGCATCACCTCAATCGCCTCCTTCAAGAGACACTTAAAAACTCACCTCTACAATCACGTGCTTCTGAGCGACTCTGAGCTTGGCTCCGCGCCTCAGAGTTGCGGCCACTACGTCTGCAAATTTGCGCGCGTTACAAATTGAACTATTATTATTATTAGATGGCGATGTCTGCCGTAGCAGCAAGGTGGAACGGTGTCGTGTTTGACAGACAACCATCACAGTTTTACCATGTCTAGTGGTGTTCTCTCTGTTACAGGTTGAGTCAAGACTAAGAATATGCAGTCTATTCTTAGTCTTAAGCCTCACCTTACCATATTAATAAACGTATTCAGCCCTTGCCCCACCGCCTTCTCCAACCAGTATATAAACGGAGTGGTAGCTTCTGAAATCTCTCATTTACTTGATACAACTGTCGTGGCTGTGACGGTACCACCTGAAGACGGAAGCTTGTGTTGCCTCCGAAACGTCGTGATTTTAATTTTGTATGTTATTTTATTTTACTTTTTAATGTTTTTTACCTACGTGACTTTACCGAAAAAACCTAAGAATATGAATCATTGCAGTCACGAAATCTTCAAATCTAGAACGGTGTCGTGTTGTCTCTTCACAGATCTGAGCCAGCTCAGCCCTCCTCCTCACTCGTCCAGGCCTTTGAAGTGAAGACAGAGGTTGTGGAGAAGTAGACGAAGAAAGAGGTGAAGGAGATGATGGAGGATGAGGTAGAGACAGAGGAGGAGAAATCGGAGGAAGAGAAGGCAAAGGAGGACGAGATTGTGATGGTGACAATGGAGGAGAACACGGAGGGAGAGGAGAAAGACAATACAGAGATGGAGGACAAGGAGACAACAAAGGATGAACAGATGGTCGTGGTGGAGGACGTGAAGACGACGGACAAAGGGGAAACAATGGTGGTGGAGGAGGAAGAGAAGACGGTGGTGGAGATGGTGGTGCCGGAAGTTGAGGAGGAGATGAAAGAGGAAGAGATGGTGCTAGCGGAGGAGAAGAAGATGGAGACGATGGAGGTGGCACAGGAAGAAGAGGAGGAGGTAGAGGAGAAGATGGTGCTAGCGGAGGATGAAGAAGAGGGGATGGAGAAGGATGAGACGGAGGAGAACATGGAAGAGGTGCAGGTGGAGATGCACGAAAAGAAGAGGAAGCGAGGGGGCCTCGCTCGCGTGGCGAGAGCGATCGCCTCACTCCTCCGCCGCGTGCTGCTTTGTGGTGGCAGGTCCACCGCCCAGTAGGGGTGGTGGCGGTGGTCGTGCATCGGTGCCGACCGTGACCGCTATCACCACACTACCCGTCCACCCCTTGATACTCGCTACACACACCACACGGGTCCCCAGAGAGACGGTGCCACTTGGACCACAGCTGGGGAATGAAGCTGAGCAGCAGATGCCAGGACTACAGCGGAGAATGACTGCTGCCAGGAGACCTCACATCACACACACACGGGACTATGCCTTTAGCATAGCCGGCCCCACACTGGGCCCCTTCCATGCTGGTTTTCATCCAGGCAGTCCTCATGGGATGACCTTGCCATGGTTTCCAGGACATGGTCGTATTAGCATTTTATTGTGCTTGAATGTATGTTATGTGCAAATGCACATCATTAGTCGTAAATGCGAGGGAGGGGTTAAGAGGTGCACGTTTAATCCAGTGTTAACATTTATTTTAGCATCATATTTAATGACACTGTTGTTGATAAGAATTCGTCTGGACGTGGCACGTGCCTTGTTCTACTCGATCAACCAAATTTAGTACAATGTCGGTCATACAGGAGTGTGATTTCATTCATGAGTAGTATTCACAGAGCCCCTATGACACTAACCTACCTAAAGTTATGGTTAAACAAAGTAATCTTGAGTGACTTAATTCTCAGCTCAGACATGATCATCGCAATTATTTCCAAAGACGTGTGGGGTCCTGCGAGAGCAGGTCCCGACTACAAACAGCTGGGCAGCAGAATCGGAAGTAGCTGCGTCGCCCTCGAAATGTGATGTTGCTGCTGTTGTTGTCGCTGCTGTTGTTGCTGCTGTAATTGCTTCTGTTGCTGTGATATAGGCAGGGTGGTGGTGTTCCGTGATGGGATGACGCCTTTGATTAAAGCCTCTGATCAAACTCACCCGATTGACGCCCTTGATCGTCGCATTTGATCAACTCTGATATTGTATACTCTCACATGTTAAGCTCTATCATAGTGAAACATAATATTATAACCTATGAACTACAACCTATCCATTGTAACGCTGTAAAAGAATATTACCTATTGGGTTTCACTCCCTCGTCGAGAAGGCCGCTCTCTTCCTTTTCTAAAGTTAGATGCTAATTTCTCTGCATTCACTTTAAATCGAGGACAAAGTTTTTCCATTAATTCAAAATAAGCGCACAATTACACACTGAGATGCACTTACATATTCATGCATGAAGCACAATGGGCACATTACCCTTCGGTATGTTAATAGACATGCGGATAGTACCTTCCAAAATTAACAATCGAATGCAAATATCCTGAACGACAAAGGATTGGATCCTAGGGGGGGAGTTATAAGGCAGCTCAGAAGCAGAGCTCAATGCCATTTCGAGAGGGAACTTGATGAGGTTGGACGCTCGACTCGTCGCTCTGCTGATCGCCCTTCTACCGCGAGACAACGCAGCCTGGCGAGCACAATTGCTGTGTCGACAGTTAGGCGACTTTGTGTTGGGAGAGTTTGTGGCGGCATCTTCAGACGGGTTACAGACATCGATATACCGTGAATCTCCAAGTAAGTGTGTATTGTCGCAGATAAACTCTTAAACGTTTTCGTCGTTAAATTAGTGGGATTTTTTGGCGTCTCGGTTAGACGCGAGTGTCGTTCTTGTTTTAGCAGTTAACAAAATCTAAAACTCAACGCTAAACATCCTTGCGGCCGATAGCGTACTTTTGACTCGATAACACCGCTGCTCTTACTACGCTCACATGGAGCAGAGACGCTCTCCACAGCCCCACGCACACGGAGGCAAGAAGCCATTCAATTGCTCTGTGTGTGGGAAGGAATTTTCACGGCAATCAAATCTTAAGAGACACCAGAGAACACACACGGGCGAGAAGCCCTTCCTGTGCCATGTGTGTGGGAAGACTTTTGCAAAGTCATCACATCTTCAAGACCATCAGAAAACACACACGGGCGAGAAGCCATTCTTGTGTCCTGTGTGTGGGAAGAAATTTGCACAGTCATCACATCTTCAGAGTCATCAGAGAACACACACTGGCGAGAAGCCATTCCTGTGCCCTGTGTGTGGGAAGGCAGGAAGCTGAAATCAAAAGCTGAAATTCAAGGTGCTGCAATGATTCCTGAAGATAATTCCACCTTCGATCCCATGCAGTTGGATCCCGAGAGATGGCTGGATGTAATGGAGTGGCTCGAGGATCAAACCGAGAGCTCGGGGTGACTGAAAAAATATTATGCCATGTGGTTATACCTTTTAATCCGTATCGAGTACTTTGTGTGTAATTTTTACCATTTTAGTTTTACAGTTTTTGTGAGTTTAATGACGTGCCCAGTGGTGGTTTGTAATGTTATCGGATTACTTGCCGAAGTGGTGTGATGAGCACTGGTTGTGAGAGGGTTCAATTGTAGTCGTTAGGTGTTCCTGTTGAGCTAAAGTTGGAATGCGTCTATAGGTACATCTTTACTCAACATTTTAAAGATTTTTTTGTCAAGTGTATAGCTTTTTTTATTGGTATTAATCGATTTTAGATAGCCGATTTCAGGATGTACATTGATGACGCGTTTGTTGGATATATGGCCATGACTTCAACATAGACGCACAGTGAACAAATGTGGTGAACTAATAAGGAAATCATGGGAAATTATACTTTAACGCTTTGGTATTCCTGGAACGGAAATGGTTTGCATGGTACTGGAAATGTGTGAACATAGGACGTAATAAATATTCCCTTCGAGTTTTGACGTAAAATGATTGCAGATGAATAAAAATGTATTTTTAACAAATGTTTGTACAGTCTTTATTTTATAATGTTCCTAGCAAAAACATGTTAAGATAATTTCAGGATGGAGGATCTCCGTCACACAAGTATGCCCTTAACCGGCAGCATCTTGGCTGTCTACCCGATTAACACGCGTTCCTTGAGGGGAAAGGTCCCCGTAGTTAATCGTTCATCAAGGTACCAGTCCCTAATCCCGAAGTATGTCGGGGATAAACTGTACTTTATAACATGTAAACTGTAATACTATAAACGATAACACTAAACATTAAACGATTATAAACTAGTGTTTTAATTTAAAACCATATAAACGGAGGTAAGGTATTATAATATCATTAGAAGCATTAGAATCACAGTGTGGTCGTATAAGAATCGCTAATATGTATGTATAGTGTACGTGCAAGGATCGGATAAAAATTATTACAATTACAACATGGTCATATGCAATCACGATGTTGCTGCAGCTGCTGCTGCAGTTGCTGCAACAACAGCAGCAGCAGCGACTGCAGCAGCATCACCTGCAGAGATGCTGCATCCCGCGGCACCATCCAGGCGAAGAAAGGAAGAGCAGAGCCCGAATCGATTATACTCATTTTGATATTCTAAACAACCGAGCACCTCCCAGTTTGCATTTTCGACTCCCAATGCGCATTTGCATATAACATACACTCTAGCTCAGTGTAATTCTAATACTACCATAGTGTTATTCTAGTAATTTTAATCCGATTCCTAATCCTGCACGCCCCAGTTAGCATATCCGACCCCCCCGGTTCGCAAGTACAAATGGCATGCATACACATTACATACATACGAGCACAGTTCACATGCCCGTACACTATTATACATATGTAGAGAAGTTCCCAGGACGCACTCGGAGACGAATGTGAGGTGTAAGGGCTTTCGCCGAGAGTTTATTAAAGTTATTGACATACACCAGGTGTACCAACTTTCCAGGGGTGAGGGGTCCCGGGCTCGGTCCTACTGGTCCCCCCGACACAGTCGGCTGCTCCGTGCTGCCTCCTCTGCGCCGGCCGTGGGCTCAGCCAACACGGCCGGCCGAGGAGCGCAGCCACCTCCAGCCCTGGCGCTGCGCTCTTTCCTATCCCGACTCCCTTGCCCCTGGCTCCCCGTGCAACCTGACTCCGAGCCCCGACTTCAGCACAGACCCCGATGACGACACGGGCTCTACTTTCTGTAAGCCGCTAATGAAAATAACACGGGGCGGTGGATACACGTGCTTCCATGGGCGGTCGGGGACAGGGCATGGTTGTTTGCCCACAGGTGCCACCGGGTATATCCCCAAGTTGCTCAGTCAATTGCAAGGTAAAGTAGAAGTCATAGAGGTGAAATGGCTGCAGTGTGTAACGAATGTAGATAGGGCGTCGCCGTTGGTTCGTCCACCCATCGCGCCTCAAGACTTATGTCCGTCCCCACCCAGACAGCTCATCCCCATGTCCTGTACAGCCCAAGTCTGGTGTGTCCGACGTGGTGGGGCTCTCGGCAACGGAAACCGTACTCCAAAGGAAATGTGTTGTGGCGCTCACAGTTTCCTAGCCCCTGAGGCCCGGGGTGCTTCAATGATCTCCCGCGTGTGAGGAATCGGTGCCTGGAGCCCAGTCATGTTTCTCAAAAGAAGCCAGGGACCTGCCTAACCCTTCAAGGCTGTGGTGCGAACCCTTGACGCCCCGAAAGGCACAAGATTCCACCATGAGCCTTTAACGCGGTTTTAGACCCCAGGCGTCACGATATAGCAACGACGACGACGAGACAGCAACCAGCCAACACAGCCCCAAACCTCGTTCCTCCCCCTCTCTCATTCTCGGCGTGAACCTCCGCCCACACTTGGTCCCGCCTTCCCTTCTCGAACTCTCTCTATCTTGTTGTCACCACTTGTCCCTTAGTTGACGCATTGTCTTTACATCACCCACCTCTATGACCTCTACCTGTCCCCGCCATGGGCGGAGCAACTTGGATTTTCCCGGTGGCACCTGTAGGCAATACAACCATGCCCTGTCCCCCACTGCCCATGGAAGCACGTGTTCACGCTGCCCCGAGTTATTTTCATTAGCGGATTGCGCTCTGGTGGGGAAAGGTCCTCGTTATGAATCGTTTCGCAACGTTCAGGTCCAGAATACCGAAGTACACCGGGAATCACCTGTACAAAAAAAAACATGTAAACTGATAACACTATAATCAATAACACTAAACATTAAACGACAAAAAAACCTACCAACTGGTTTTATTATTTATACCACCATAAACGCAGGTACGGTATTTAAATCTCATTAGAAGTATTAAAATCGCACTCTACACATATTTATGTAAATTATCTGTTCAATCGAACCGGGTGTCGGATATGTGAACTGTGGGGGGTACAGGGCAAGAATCGCATTTAAATTTTAGAATAACAATATTGTCGTATTAGCATTTTACTGTGCTTAAATGTATGTTATGTGAAAATGCAAATCGTTAGTCGTAAATGCGAGGGAGGGGTTAAGATGTGCACGTTTAATCCAGTGTTACCATTTATTTTAGCATCATATTTAAGGACACTGTGGTTGATAAGAATTCGTCTGGACGTGGCACGTGCCTTGTTCTACTCGATCAACCAAAATTAGTACAATGTCGGTCATAAAGGAGTGTGATTTCATTCATGATTAGTATTCACAGAGCCCCGATGACACTAACCTACCTAAAGTTATGGTTAAACAAAGTAATTTTGAGTGACTTAATTCTCAGCTCAGACATGATCATCGCAATCATTTCCAAAGACGTGTGGGGTCCTGCGAGAGCAGGTCCCGACTACAAACAGCTGGGCAGCAGAATCGGAAGTAGCTGCGTCGCCCTCGACATGTGATGTTGCTGCTGTTGTTGTCGCTGCTGTTGTTGCTGCTGTAGTTGCTTCTGTTGCTGTGATATACGCAGGGAGGTGATGTTCCGTGATGGGATGACGCCTTTGATTAAAGCCTCTGATCAAACTCACCCGATTGATGCCCTTGATCGTCGTATTTGATCTGATATTCTAAACTCTCACATGTTAAGCTCTAACATAGTGAAACGTAATATTATAACCTATGAACTACAACCATTGTAACGCTGTAAAAGAATATTACCTATTGGGTTTCACTCCCTCGTCGAGAAGGCCGCTCTCTTCCTTTTCTAAAGTTACATGCTAATTTCTCTGCATTCACTTTAAATCGAAGACAACGTTTTTCCATTTATTCAAAATAAGCGCACAATTACACACTGAGATGCACTTACATATTCATGCATGAAGCACAATGGGCACATTACCCTTCGGTATGTTAATAGACATGCGGATTGTACCTTCCAAAATTAACAATCGAATGCAAATATCCTGAAAAACAAAGGATTGGATCCTAGCGGGGGAGTTATAAGGCGGCTCAGAAGCAGAGCTCAATGCCATTTCGAGAGGGAACTTGATGAGGTTGGACGCTCGACTCGTCGCTCTGCTGATCGCCCTTCAACCGCGAGACAACGCAGCCTGGCGAGCACAATTGCTGTGTCGACAGTTAGGCGACTTTGCGTCGGCAGAGTTTGTGGCGACATCTTCAGACGGGTTCCAGACATCGATATACCGTGAATCTCCAAGTAAGTGTCTATTTTCGCGGATGAACTCTTAAACCTGTTCGTCGTCAAATTGACGTGATTTTGATGTTCATCGGTTAAACACGTGTCGTTCTTGTTTTAGTAGTTAACAAAATCCAAAAGTCAACGCTAAACATCGTTGCGGCCGATAGCGTACTTTTGACAACACCACTACTGTTACTACACTCACATGGACAAGATACGCACTCCACAGCCTCATGCACACGGGCGCAAGGAGTCATTTAATTGCTCTGTGTGTAGGAAGACATTTTCACGGCCATCACGTCTTAAAATACACAAGAGGACACACACTGGCGAGAAGCCGTTCCTGTGCTCTGTGTGTGGGAAGACATTTGCTCAGTCATCACATCTTCATATTCATCAAAGAAAACACACGGGCGAAAAGCCATTCCTGTGCCCTGTGTGTGGGAAGAAATTTGCAAACTCATCACATCTTCAGAGTCATCAGAGAACACACACGGGCCAGAAGCCATTCCTGTGCCCTGTGTGTGGGAAGAAATTTGCAAACTCATCAAATCTTCAGAGTCATCAGAGAACACACACGGGCGAGAAGCCATTCCTGTGCCCTGTGTGTGGGAAGACATTTGCACAGTCATCACATCTTCAGAGTCATCAGAGAACACACACGGGCGAGAAGCCATTCCTGTGCCCTGTGTGTGGGAAGAAATTTGCAAACTCATCACATCTTCAGAATCATCAGAGAACACACACGGGCGAGAAGCCATTCCTGTGCCCTGTGTGTGGTAAGAAATTTGCAAGGTCATCACATCTTCAGAGTCATCAGAAAACACACACGGGCGACAAGCCATTCCTGTGCCCTGTGTGTGGGAAGACATTTGCACAGTCATCACATCTTCAGAGTCATCAGAGAACACACACGGGCGAGAAGCCATTCCTGTGCCCTGTGTGTGGGGAGGCATTTGCACGGTCATCAACCATGAGCAGGCATCAGCAGGTCCACAATGATAGGAAACTGAAATCAAAAGCTGAAATTCAAGGTGCTGCAATGAGTCCTGAAGAAGTTTCCACCTTCGATCCCATGCAGTTGGATCCCGAGAGATGGCTGGATGTAATGGAGTGGCTCGAGAGTCAACCAGAGAGCTCGGGGTGACTGAACAAATATTACGTCATGTGGTTATATCTATTAAGCCGTATCGAGTACTTTTGTGTGTAATTTTGACCATTTTAGTTTTACAGTTTTTGTGAGAGTTTATTGGCGTGCCCAGTGGTGGTTTGTAATGTTATCGGATTACTTGCCGAAGTGGTGTGATGAGCACTGGTTGTGAGAGGGTTCAATTGTAGTCGTTAAGTGTTCCTGTTGAGCTAAAGTTGGAATGCGTCTGTAGTTAGATCTTTACTCAACATTTTAAAAGGTTTTTTTTCAAGTATAAAGTTTTTTTTTGGTTGGTAATAATCGACTTTAGATAGTCGATTTCAGGATGTACATTGATGACGCGTTCGTTGTATATATGGCCTTGACTTCAACATAGACGCAGAGTGAAAAAATGTGGTGAACTAATAAGGAAATCATGGGGAATGAAACTTTAACGCTTTGGTATTCCTGTACGGAAATGGTTTGCATTCTACTGGAAATGTGTGAACATAGGACGTAATAAATATTGCCTTCGAGTTTTGACGTAAAATTATTGCAGATGAATAAAAACGTATTTTAACAAATGTTTGTCAGTTCTTTATTGTATAATGTTCCTAGCAAAAACATGTTCAGAGAATTTCAGGTGGAGGATCTCCATCACACAAGTGTGCCCTTAACCGGCAGCATCTTGGCTGTCTACCCGATTAACACGTGTTCCTTCAGGGGAAAGGTCCCCGTAGTTAATCGTTCATCAAACGTACCAGTCCCAAATCCCGAAGTATGTCGGGGATAAACTGTACTCTATAACATGTAAACTGTAATACTATACACGATAACACTAAACATTACAGTTTTTGTGAGAGTTTAATGACGTGTACAATGGTGGTTTGTAATGTTATCGGATTACTTGCCGAAGTGGCGTGATGAGCAGTGGTTGTGATATGATTCAATTCCGGACAATATTGTAGTGTTTAAGTCTTCCTGTTGAGCTAAAGTTGGAATGCATTTTTAGTTAGATCTTTATCAACATTTTAAACGGGTTTTTTCAAGCATATAGCTTTTTGGTTGGTATTAATCGACTTTAGATAACCGATTTAAGGATGTACATTGATGACGCGTTCGTTGGATATATGGCCTTGACTTCAACATAGACGCACAGTGAACAAATGTGGTGAACTAATAAGGAAATCATGGGGAATGATACTTTAACGCGTTGGTATTCCTGGAACGGATATGGTTTGCATTGTATTGTAACTGTTTGAACATTGGACATAATACATTCGGTTCGAGTTTTGACTTAAAAATGATTGCAGATGAATAAAAAAGTTTTTTTTAACAAATGTGTGTCCGTTTATTTATTCATATCAACAACGTGTTTTAAGCGAGTTTCAGGTGGAGGATCTTCGTCACACAAATCTGCCCTTAACCGGCAGTCTCACCATTAACATGTGTTCCTGGAGGGGAAAGGGCCCCATTATTTATCGATTCACAACGTTACGGTCCCTAATCATCAAGTACACAGGGAATCCTGTACGCTAAGACATGTGAACTGTAACACTATAAACGATAACACGAAACATTTAAATACTATAAACTAGTTTCATCATTTATAACACCAAAAACAGAGGTACGGTATCATAATCTCATTTCAAGAATTAGAATTACAATGTGATCGTATTAGAATCACACTCTGCGCATATGTATGTATAGTGTACGTGCAAGCGAACTGTGCTCGTATGAACCAATGAATATGCATCTATGGCCTTTGGACATGCGAACCGGTGGTCGAATATGCGATTTGGGGGGTGCAGGATTATGATCGGATTAAAATGATTAGAATATCACTTTGGTAGTATTAGAATTACACTGAGCTAGAATGTATGTTATATGTAGATGCACATCGGGAGTCGTAAAATGCGACCTGGGTGGTGCCAGATTTAGAATCGCATCAAAATTATTAAAATCGCACCATGGTCGTATTCAAGCTGCCCACTGCTGGTAGAATGTTCCATCTCAATGGCACCGAATAGCAATATACATGCATTGATATTGGGCGTGGAGCCTACAAGCGCAACCTTGCGCATTTTGACCTGGTTCTCGACGCCCGTCCCGCGCCCATGGTAGAATGTTGTGCATGTCGGGGCGTCAAGGGTTCGCACCACAGCCTTGAAGGATTAGGCAGGTCCCTGGCTTCTTTTGAAGAATTTGACCAGGCTCCAGGCACCGGTTCCTCGCACGTGGCGGATCCTTGAGGCACCCCGGGCCTCAGGGGCTCGGAAACTGTGGGCGCCACAACACATTTCATTTAGAGTACGGTTCCCCTTGCCGAGTGCCCCACCACGTCGGACACACCAGACTTGGGCTGTACAGGACATGGGGATGAGCTGTCTGGGTGTGGACGGACATAACTACATGCGTACACACTGCGGCCA